GACCGGAAGTAATCACTGGAGGTATGATGTATATTAATCAATATATGAACACGAAGACTGGCGTATTAACACGATAATGTATTGGCTATGTGTATTTATCACGATCGTCCTATATCTGTGTCATTTATATACAAATAATCACCAGGAGCTTTAATAAATAAAAAAAACGGTGCAATAAGATTGATATGAGATAGTTAAAAACTACTGAAGTGCACGCCCTTATCTTTCAAATATACCGTGTCGTTTATTTTCTTGGTAACTGTAAACATAACATAGTTTTTTTACTTTTAACGAGCATATATCATTGACAAAAATCAACCCATAGTACATCGAATTTTTAGAAAATTATTCACGCTTGTCACTTAATTTCAAGAACCTGCTTAAACGAGTAACGTCATAAAACAAAGTATGCTTATGTTCCGAGAACAGCAGAAAAATCATAGTGGACGATATCTAAAGCCTGAGTATGGTTACAGCAGAGTAATGACATGTTAGAGAGCTTGGTTACACAATATCGTTCGGTGCTCACTAGAACGGAGAATATAGGTAATACTAATCTAGATTTAGTACCTAACAAATAACCCCAACATGTAACAGCACTTGACCTTCTGTCAACAAGTTCAAACTACCCAGGTGAATTCGTTTAAAGATAAAATGTTGAATTCTAATAAGACCAATCTCAGCTGTGAATTGTCATTGTTATGACCATTAAGAAAAGCTATATTTTCTTGTGTAATATGATGTGATTGATGCCCTCGGTGTCATTCCTGGCTCTTCCCCTGTTCTCAGTTTGAGAACGTGGAATGGCTTGGGTTTCACCTAGGCTCATATGACTAACATTTGCTTACATGTCGCTATTCGTTTGACCAGGCATTATTGTAGAAATGTAATTGATGGCCAGACCTGACGACCTGATGAAATTTTATCTTTCTAAAATATAACATGGTGCATCTGATCACAGTTTGAATGTACAGATTATATTGATATACTAAATAACTGCTTAATGCACACAACAACAAAAATAACAAATCTTGAAATGTCAACTTAAGATAGATGAAACCAGTGAAAAATAAAGGTTTATCGAGGAAAAGGTAAAACGACAATAAAACCAGGTGTTCCGGAAGGATAAACATCTTCTGGTGTATCAATGACACCCGTCATGTGAATATTCATTAATGTCCCGTTCTCAATGAGAACTAGTTTTATATAAACGAAATTAATACACATATTTACGAGCATCGAACGCAACTAGACATACACACAAAAAAACTTAATCAATTTGATGTTAACAACTAGATACTACTACTGAAGAAAGCTGTACACAGCTGGACAACAGGCCCAGTACATCCAGACATCGTGTCTTCAAATTCCTGTGTGGTGATATTGGGAAAACGAAAATAACTATACATCCAAGCTAAACAAACAGAATATGACAATAGGATATGGTCGAATCTATAATGACGTAACGTTTTTATAACAGACTAGATATCGCAAATTCTCATTTTATCATAGATTTGTTGGCTAACATTGGAACTCACGTTTATAAAACACCCCAATTTTCTTTTTCATTAAATAATTAGGTTTGCTATCTTACAATATTTCAATCCATGGCCCCATCGTGTTATTGCCACCTCTCTCAATTCATTTTTATGAAATTCTACATTGACTTTATGAAAGTAACACCAAAGGCATAAATAGATATGATAGAGGTTATCTCTAGTAATTGTTCAGGTCTCTACTGTGTGTGGCCGGTCACCTTACTGAGATTCATCTTATCTGGCAAGGAGTTTCGGTATACACCGCCAATCATCCTCCAGGTTAACTTGTTTTCAGTGGTAGTTATACCCCCCCCCCTGGTCCAGTACTTAACACGAAATTAGTATGCGTAGAAGCGATACATTCAGCTCCACACCTACCACAGCTTATCTTGTAAGGGGTGTTGATAGTAGCTATATATTCCGTTCCCTCCCCTTACTCCAGCACATTTAGGGGTATATATATCCTCCTCAAGCTTACCCTGTATGGAGTGTGGGTACTAGCTATATATACCCCTCAAGCTTACCTTGTATGGAGTGTGGGTAGTAGCTATATATTCCCCCTCCAGCTTACCTTGTATGGAGTGTGGGTACTAGCTATATATTCCCCTTCAGCTTACCTTGTATAGAGTGTGGGTAGTAGTTATATATCCCCCTCCAGCTTACCTTGTATGGAGTGTTGGTACTAGCTATATGTCCCCCTCAAGCTTACCCTGTATGGAGTGTGGGTAGTAGCTATATATTCCCCCTTCAGCTTACCTTGTATGGAGTGTGGATAGTAGCTATATATCCCCCTCCAGCTTACCTTGTATGGAGTGTTGGTACTAGTTATATATCCTCCCTTCAGCTTACCTTGTATGGAGTGTGGGTACTAGCTATATATCCCCCTCCAGCTTACCTTGTATGGAGTGTGGGTAGTAGCTATATATTCCCCCTCAAGCTTACCTTGTATGGAGTGTGGGTAGTAGCTATATAATCCCCCTCCAGCTTACCTTGTTTAGAGTGTGGGTACTAGTTATATATCCCCCCTTCAGCTTACCTTGTATGGAGTGTGGGTACTAGTTATATATCCCCCTCCAGCTTACCCTGTATGGAGTGTGGGTAGTAGCTATATATTCCCCTTCAGCTTACCTTGTATGGAGTGTGGATAGTAGCTATATATCCCCCTCCAGCTTACCTTGTATGGAGTGTGTGTAGTAGCTATATATCCCCCCCTCCAGCTTACCTTGTATGGAGTGTGGGTATTAGCTATATATTCCCCCTCAAGCTTACCTTGTATGGAGTCTGGGTAGTAGCTATATACCCCCTCCAGCTTACCTTGTATGGAGTGTGGGCACTAGGTATATATCCCCCTTCAGCTTAACCTGTATGGAGTGTGGGGACTAGTTATATATCCTCCCTCCAGCTTACCTTGTGTGGAGTGTGGGTAGTAGCTATATATTCCCCCTCCAGCTTACCTTGTACAGAGTGTGGGTAGTAGCTATATATCCCCCATCCAGCTGACCTTGTATGGAGTGTGGGTACTAGTTATATATCCCCCTCCAGCTTACCCTGTATGGAGTGTGGGTAGTAGCTATATATCCCCCCCTCCAGCTTACCTTGTATGGAGTGTGGGTATTAGCTATATATTCCCCCTCAAGCTTACCTTGTATGGAGTCTGGGTAGTAGCTATATACCCCCTCCAGCTTACCTTGTATGGAGTGTGGGCACTAGCTATATATCCCCCTTCAGCTTAACCTGTATGGAGTGTGGGGACTAGTTATATATCCCCCCTCCAGCTTACCTTGTGTGGAGTGTGGGTAGTAGCTATATATTCCCCCTCCAGCTTACCTTGTACAGAGTGTGAGTAGTAGCTATATATCCCCCATCCAGCTGACCTTGTATGGAGTGTGGGTACTAGTTATATATCCCCCTCCAGCTTACCCTGTATGGAGTGTGGGTAGTAGCTATATATTCCCCCTTCAGCTTACCTTGTATGGAGTGTGGGCACTAGCTATATATCCCCCTTCAGCTTAACCTGTATGGAGTGTGGGTACTAGTTATATATCCCCCCTCCAGCTTACCTTGTGTGGAGTGTGGGTAGTAGCTATATATTCCCCCTCCAGCTTACCTTGTACAGAGTGTGAGTAGTAGCTATATATCCCCCATCTAGCTTACCATGTATGGAGTGTGAGTACTAGCTATATATCCCCCCTCCAGCTTACCTTGTACAGAGTGTGAGTAGTAGCTATATATCCCCCATCTAGCTTACCTTGTATGGAGTGTGGGTACTAGCTATATATTCCCCTCAAGCTTACCTTGTATGAAGTGTGGGTAGTAGCTATATAATCCCCCTCCAGCTTACCTTGTATGGAGTGTGGGTTGTAGCTATATATTCCCCCTCCAGCTTACCTTGTATGGAGTGTGGGTAGTAGCTATATATCCCCCATCTAGCTTACCTTGTATGGAGTGTGGGTAGTAGCTATATATTCCCCCTCCAGCTTACCTTGTATGGAGTCTGGGTAGTAGCTATATATTCCCCCTCCAGCTTACCTTGTATGGAGTGTGGGTACTAGCTATATATTCCCCTTCAGCTTACCTTGTATAGAGTGTGGGTAGTAGTTATATATCCTCCCTCCAGCTTACCTTGTATGGAGTGTGGGTACTACCTATATATCCCCCTCCAGCTTACCTTGTATGGAGTGTTGGTACTAGCTATATGTCCCCCTCAAGCTTACCCTGTATGGAGTGTGGGTAGTAGCTATATATTCCCCCTTCAGCTTACCTTGTATGGAGTGTGGATAGTAGCTATATATCCCCCTCCAGCTTACCTTGTATGGAGTGTGAGTACTAGCTATATATCCCCCTCCAGCTTACCTTGTATGGAGTGTGGGTAGTAGCTATATATCCCCCTCCAGCTTACCTTGTATGGAGTGTGAGTACTAGCTATATATCCCCCTCCAGCTTACCTTGTGTGGAGTGTGGGTACTAGCTATATATCCCCCCTCCAGCTTACCTTGTACAGAGTGTGAGTAGTAGCTATATATCCCCCATCTAGCTTACCTTGTATGGAGTGTGGGTACTAGCTATATATTCCCCCTCAAGCTTACCTTGTATGGAGTGTGGGTAGTAGCTATATAATCCCCCTCCAGCTTACCTTGTATGGAGTGTGGGTAGTAGCTATATATTCCCCCTCCAGCTTACCTTGTACAGAGTGTGAGTAGTAGCTATATATCCCCCATCTAGCTTACCTTGTATGGAGTGTGAGTACTAGCTATATATCCCCCCTCCAGCTTACCTTGTACAGAGTGTGAGTAGTAGCTATATATCCCCCATCTAGCTTACCTTGTATGGAGTGTGGGTACTAGCTATATATCCCCCCTCCAGCTTACCTTGTATGGAGTGTGAGTACTAGCTATATATCCCCCCTCCAGCTTACCTTGTATGGAGTGTGGGTAGTAGCTATATATCCACCCTCTAGCTTACCTTGTATGGAGTGTGGGTAGTAGCTATATATTCCGCCTTTGTTGTAGTCATGATGAAATTCTGATGATATGAAGTAATATTTTGATTCCAAATTATTCCAATGTAAAAATATGACACCACAATATTGACGATCACAATAAATCACTAATTAATGACGAAAATTCATCGAAAGTTCCGATATGTCAAAGTCCATTTTGGAAATGTCACCGCCGTTCTACAATCCAATCAGCCATTCCTATGGGATCTGTAAATCCATTAGCTTGTGTCCATACACCTATATATATTTGTTAATACAAATACACACTAAGAACTGGCAGGGATGTCCATTATGTTACATGCGGTCACTTTGTCATCTCTTTGTAAAGCACTGACCAGTAGAATAAATACAAACAGTAACTGAAAGTGATTTACCAATAAAAGCCAACAATAAACAACAATACATCTACAATGAATGAACTCTACTTTTAAAATACCCAGGACCGAAACAGATTTCACTCCTAGTCAATACCCCGAGATCATCGCTGACCGTCGCACTAATATGATTAGCTCGAGATCATCCTTACTTACCAGATATACACGAGGGGCACTAAGTGTTTTCCCTTATTTCTTCAGAGAGTCGCCATGAATGTACGGATTAAAAGATTAAACACATATTCATTAATCCACTTCAATCCATGTAATGACAGATTTAACTGCTTATAAAGGGTCGCATGCATATGATATGTACATGTCTACACAGAAGTCGTCACGACACACGGAGGAGAAACATGGAGGCACCACACGGGAGATATCACTATCATTAATATATGTAATCATTTATTAAATTTCCATTTTTAATTCTCTACAAAAGTACGTTCAGAATTTATTCAATATTTCATCCTACTAATTTATCATTAAAATATGTTGACAAATAAAGTATATATCACTCATGATTTTTTTCAACCCTCTTGTAATATTTTTATTCTGTATATATAATTGTTTAAAACGTATTGTCTACCGTAACATTGTATTGTGTTTTTTTAAAAACTCGGTTCAGATAGAAATCTATTTACGTAAATCCTAGTGTTATCGTTTCGCGGATCAGTTTAATCAAATTCTGTGGCAATATGCGACTGTTGTCTGGTATGAATGGTTTAGAATGAATCAACTCGGGTGATAAATATATGTATGAAGATTTAAATAACCCAGGAGGACAAGAGTAGCACATGCATGCTCCGCTTGATTAGGTCCGTTTATAAGCTTATACATCAATTGTAAGGATAAAAAACTGTATTTATATTATATTAGCATATGTATAGGAGATAGACAATGCTGTTGTGGAGGCTTGTGGTTACGGCGGCCCACAGAAGTGGCGACCATTTACCCGTTTGTATCGGTATAAGTTATATACTGATCAGATGGACAATTAGTAAACTTTAAACTGAATGAAATATTTAAATAAAAACACTGACGAATAGTGGGACTAAAATTTACAGATTTATTTCTAAGGCGTTGTATTGTAATTGGAAGGAGTAATGAAGAATACACTGTCGAATTAGCAATCAATCGGTCTCAAGTCGGACACTCTACCTACCACTCGCTTATCGGGAAATTCCCACTACTTTCAACATCTCTCTCCTTCACAAAATCTTCAATCCGGAAGACAACAACACAACATCTCCAAGGAGGCATTTCAATCTCCTATAGCTTCTACCATTGGAGTGGACAACGACATTAAATCTGTAATAGGTATGAGTAATGAAAATCACCTTCCTTCACTTGGGTTCGAATTAGTGACCATTTGGTCTCTAGCCGGACACTCTACCACTCTACTGAACGGAAATTCCTACTAGCTGAGGCTAGTAAGGCGACCTGTACTCTCAACTTCTACGATATTAAGTAAAGAATGGTAAAAGCACTATGCCGTTATTTGTTAATGCTGAACGCGTAGGGCCGATAAAATTGATTTTATATAGAAGATTTTACAAGAAAAGGAATGGTAGAGTTATCGTTCTTCTATCGTGTTTGGTTAATGGTAACATAATACGTATTTATTTATGTATATTTGTTATCACGTAAGACAAGACAGGTGTGACGAGTATTCGTGATGTAACTAACAACCAAGACACAGTATGTTTCAATTCATCACACTATCCATCCATACAATAAGTTATTGTTATATTTCATGGTAAAAATAAAACAAACATGGAATAGATATATGTGTTTGGCATATCAGTGTGTCATACTGAAGATGTATGATCTGTTTGTGTCTTACACTTTACAGATAAACTTAAGATATGTATCACCAAGTTGTGTGTTATATTATACAGATAAAGATAAATAGGGCCTGTTTATGTATAATACTTTGCAGAAAAAAACTGTACACATATTTATGCAGATTAATTCATTATTCGCCTCTTCTCTTTATTCTAGATTTGTATCAGAAAGTGTTTTTCATTTGTATGTCATCTTAACACTAAACATAATTTGTTGACTTAATTTATAAAATTTACCACTGATGCTGGTGATAGGTTGGTGACAGAGTGACTTTTTGTTAGTTAATAGTGACCGGTACTAGTAAATTGTAACAGTTACTAATTGATTGTCTACTTATAAGAGTTCGCTCCCCTTAAATAAAATCTGCTTGAATTCTATATTTTCAAATGTCTCCTCTATACTTGAAATGCGACAGTCACAGAAATACCATTTGCCGACTAGCCCGTCGTGTATAGGAAACCCAGGCAGTTATCAATTATAACATGATATCATATATGATATTTGTCGAAAACACAAATAAAAACTTAAATAGACAACAAAAACATCTCTAGTGTACATGTCATAAATCTTTTTTATTCAGAAAATATATGTTCAATTGTCATTGACCAAGGCTTTATAGAAATCAAGACTTCCAATCTGAAACTTCTGCGCTGCGATAGAGCAAGAGATGCACCAGCCCTTAATGCTTAAGATTCCCTGGGATTTATTACAGGCCTAATAAAAAGATGGAGGAAAAACATCCATCGATCAACAACAACAGAAAAAAGATTAAAAACCTGTCCGAGCAGTCCAGTACGGCGGCTAGTGACAAAACAAAACATCTGTGTACCCGATACACGTCCATTACTATGACGGCACGCACTTGCAACTCAGTGCCGAACGGGACAAATTATCGCTTTACTTAATGAACAGCAAGAACATTTAATAACATGGAAACGTCTTGTATATTTTTGTAAATTTTTCTTAATGTTTTGAGTTTCTCGGACGGACCATTCTGTTTTTTATGTGCTAAGCTTGGTTAAGTGTTTATTGCCATATTTGGTTATATTCTTGTTCGATCTTCCCCCATAAGTATTAAACTCTACATTTGGTTGTTTTACATCAAGGTGAAGAAGTATAAAATCTACTAGGATTTTTAATATTTTTCTTTATTTATTGTAATTAAATTTTCACGTGCTTCTTCGATCGATTTACTCCTATGGCTACAAACAGCGTTTATATTTTACAAAGAATATTTCATATAAATCAGATTTCAGAAAAACGGTAATTTTCACCTTCATCATTTCCGTTTAATTGTTGTTTTTATCTTAGTGGTAAAATTAAAACTAAATCAGAGTTCAAAGTCTGCGATCTGGCTTTGACCTTCTGAGTGAATGAACAGCATAACTTCAGAATAAGGTCATTTAGTGAAATCCTGTTAAATGGTTTGAGGGTTGATAACGATCTAGAACAAGCAGGCTTCCTAACCAAGGCCAGGTCCAATATATCACACTAGATCACGTCTTGAGCGCAGTGCCTTAACATGTCACCTTCTCAGAAGAAAAAAACGTTCATAGTTCTAAGGATATTGTTTTAGAAGGTAGTTCCCTTCTTGTTTCGTAAATCATGTTGACGTCAGTATTTTGACTTACCATGTTGATTTGTAATTGTTTGATGACGTGTCTTAATCTTATGATAAAAATGTCGAAATATTTATTGCTGCTCAGCACTTCATAGATTCCTGAACAATTGGTGTCCATGATTAGTAACATGACAACATCAACTGTCAAATACATGATAACATCAACTGTCAAATACATAACATCAACTGTCAAATACAAACATGTCAACATAATAATAAACCTCAAACTCATTGAAAGTATGGTTAACTATATGAACAAAAGAAAGATTTACACAGACTCTCACGAAAAAGTACAAAAACAATAAGACCAGGTGTTCCAGAAGAGTAAGCGTCTTCTGCTTCACCGACAACTTTCGCCATGTAAACCTTGGTTAATCCAAATCAAACGAGAACAATGTATACAACAACGGAACCAACAAGCATACTAACGAGCTTAAAACATGTCCAGCGTCACATCGAGCAACGAAATAGAATATTTCGCAATGAGATTATCGCGATGATAAATTACCTTATCCTTCCGAGCAGACTCAATCATAAATCCTTATCGTATCTTTTTTTTTCTATATTTTTCTATACGCTCTTTCATATTCCCACTTTACGTAACTGAAGTATATTAGACAAATAAATTTTCGCTGCTTATTTATCTTGACTTAGTCTATAAAATGTTGATGTCATGGTTACACTTGTGTCTGATGAGGAAGTCTATCCTTTATTGTATCGGTTCTTGTTACCATATTAAAAGGCTCAGAATGTTCATGATTCATTTAAGTGTATAATTTATAGTTTAAACATTGTAACTTCATATCTATCGTACAAATGGCATCAACTTTTAATTATCCCAAAACACATATATTTGGACAAAACTTTAAAGTTATCGTAAAAATCATAAATATGTAAAGTTACCATACCACACATAAATACGTTAATAAATATATAAGTATAATATATATATATATAATTCATTGACAACTATATATAGTATATATATATGTATACAATGTTTGTAAACTTATGTATTTTTCTTAAAATATTATGATTGCATTATGTACAAGTTTTAAAAAAACATTTCCTGTTTTTGGCTCTACTTTCTCTAATTCCATTTTAATATTGAAAGATGTCAACATTTTGTCTGAATTTTTTTCACAGTCCTTTATATCTTATAAAAGAGAAGAAG